GACAGGTCTCTACCAGAGACGTATATGGCGTCTCTACGTCACTCCTCAGTCCAGATATGGTCACTTCCTGTTCACTGGTTGCAAAACAAACAACCCAACATGTAGCACGTAACCCATTGGTCCACAAACCAACGTGTGACGTCGTGACGACTACGTCCACTTCCACTTCTTACATACAGTCTCTGCTTTGAATGCAGGATTGCAGCATTAACTCGTTAACAGTCGGAGGATCGTTAGTTTCATCGCTAGTTTCATCGCTGAGATGTTCCAGTTCTGTATAAATTAGACCAACATCACCACAGCTGGGACCTCTGTGACCTCATCGAATGACTTCATTGATTAGGAATCAGCTGACTGTCTGAACTGAACTGAGGGATTCACTCACAGAGTTCTGTCAGTTTACTGATGTTTTCCAGCTCACACATTCTATTCATCTGTTCTGCTTCATCTGAACTCTTCTCTGTTTAACCCTCCTCAGGTCTGTGACTGGATGAACCCGTGTGTCCAGAGGACGGATCTGATGAGAGGTCAGCAGAGAGCGGAGATCGAGCTGCTATGTCCAGTGGTACAGACGTGGTGTATAATCAGGTCGGTAGAGGACGGTCCTGTCTCCGTCTGATATCTCCGTGTGTCTCTGCAGCAGCTGATGGTGCCGAGCAGAACCAGCTGAGCGTCTCTGACCCCGGAGCCTAGACCACCGCCATGAACAACCTGGGCATCATGCCGGTGGGACTCGGCGGGCAGCCGATGATCTCAGGTAACTGAGTCCACTTCTTGTGAGGAGCTTTAATCCATCTAGAGATGTCTTCAGAGGACAAAGCTGCTGAACTCCACTGGTGGTTTGTGTCTCCAGATAGCATGAAGCCTCAGGCTGCTCTCATCCAGTGTTCATAGCTACCAAAACAATGGGCGTGACTCGTAGATACCCCGAACCTCGTATTTCACCATCTCTTCTAAACTTAACTGAGTTTTGTTGACATGAGTTGCTGGACTTTTTGTAGGAAAACACAAAAAATCAGGAAAAGGTTTCTGTAAGAAGTTTTTATTTGACTGGTTTATTTAGTTCATAAAACATGAATGTAAATGCACCACGAGGCTATTTTCATCTGTAGTCTTTAGACAGATGAAAAGCATTATTTCCCTTATACAGAGCATGCAGAGACATATAGACCTCTGCTGCAGGATGCGTTAGCTCCTATTAGCATAACTCACCACACACCTGTCAGAGGCGGAGGTGCATCGTGGGTAATGTAGGCACCAGGAAGAAGAATGTGTGGAATAAAAGAGACAATGTCTCTGCTTCTGATTGTTGTTTTTAACTAATGCAAATGAGTCTAATGTGTTTTATTTTCCTCAAATAACTCGGAGATGAACATTGAAATAAATGGACATGCTTTGAGTGACAGGAGGATGAGGAGAGGCTTCCGAGAGGAAGAGCTGAGGAGGAGGAGGAGGAGGTTAATGTGTGTGTTATCTGTGTCGCAGAGAGAGAAAATACACTGAAGCTGTAGCTTTAATTAGCATCGAGGCAGCTCGGATACAGAAGAGGAAACAATGAGATTCACCAGACTTCATGCAAATTTATGGACTTTATAATCAGCAGAACGTTTGACTTCAGGCTCTTTAGTCTCAGAGCTTTGACCTGATAGAGTCCTCTGTGTGTGTGTGTGTGTGTGTGTGTGTGTGTGTGTGTCTGATGAAAGCTGATTCTTTAAATTGTCTTAAGTGGAAACGCTTTCAAACAGCTTTCAGACGATGGAACACTGACGATACTACTGCTACTGTTATTAGTACTGTTGATACTACTATTTGTTGCAGAGGTAGTTGTCGTCAGCAATACTATGTGGATTTGATGCAGTAGTAGTAGTAGTAGTAGTAGCAGTAGCAGTAGTATAAGTAGCAGTAATATGAGTAGTAGTAGTAGTAGTATAAGTAGTAGTAGCAGTAGTATAAGTAGTAGTAGTAGTAT